ACGGTCAGGCCCTGCTCCCAGCTGACAGCTCGGACACCGGCTGAGAGCTCATGACCTACAAAGCAGTGTCGGGAAGGCCACTAGCAGCAACTACATGACGGCAAGGACAGACGCAAAGCACATGGAAGGATATGCAGCTCCTCATAAAACACAGAGAAAAAACAACCCACTCACCTTTGGTGGCTACTGATTTGCAAAGTGAAGGCAAGGGGCTGTCCTACCAGGACCAGCCTCCACCCTCCAGGAGGGACCCGGAGCAGTTTCCTCCTCTCCCGCTTAGCTCTGCAGCACTGCCTGTTCTGCCAGGCTCTAATGAAAAGCTAGTTAACAGTTAATTATTACCCATTCAGACACACGATCCCCTACTCRGACCGAGTGCTGGCCAGGAGGGATAAGACAGTCACGTGACACAAAAATCCCGGCCTTATAAAAGCGCAGGCAACTATATTTAGTTTGAAAAATGATGACCTAGTGAGACCGCCCCCTCCCAGCGCAGCAGCTGATCTGCCCTCACGGGGATCCGACCTCACCATGCCGCCCCACGGCCAAGGGGCCGCACCACGACCCACAGAGCTGGCCCACAGGTGGCACGAGCTGGGTGCCCCGCGCACAGGCGGGTGATGCGGGAAGGGCCAGGCCGCAGCGCAGGCGGGGGAGACTCTCCCTCGCAGTCCCTGGCGTTGTGCAGGTCACCTTGTCAGCAGGGAAAGCTGATAAGCACCAAGAGCAACAAGCTGAGCCTAGCCCAAGGTCTTGGGCCTTATCTGGAAGGCGAGCTGGGAGCAGCAGGCGGTGGCAGCAACGCTCGGCTGGCGTCTCCGCACACCCCGCACCAGCGGCAAAGAGGCTCCAGGCTCTGTTCCGACTCCAGAGGATCTGGAGCTGCTCAGGCTCGCTGGTCTGAGACAACGGTTACTTCACTTGGACCAACGCATTCCCCTCGCTGCAACACAGCTGGGCGAACGAGACCCCAGAGAGGGAGCAAAGGCAGCTGCACAAAGGTCATGAACGTCCTTGTCACTGGGGAGAGAAGAGCCAGGAAAAAAGTGACAAAAACCCCATCCTGCCAGAGAATCATTTGCTCCCTGCTGTCACCCTGGTAGAAGAGCATCAAAGCAACGGCCTCGGGGACAAGACATCGTTAATCTCCTGTCATCAGTAGAGGGGGTGTCCTCTGCCTGCCTCTCCTGCAGCTGATGAGACGGCAGAGGTGGCAGCGCCCGCAGCATGAGCGGCAAGAGGTCACTGTCGCCGCCGCGCCAAGGGCTCCGCACGGGCACCATCCCTTTAATGGCTGTCAGCCTCGGCTGCAGCTGGGCACTTGGAAGCTGACAAAAACCTTCCCGGGAAGCGTCTGGTTCGCCTCACTGTGAATATTTAACAGAGAGGCAAAAACTGAGAGCGTCTGCCACGAGAATCTTCAGTTCTGCACATTTGCAGAGATGCAAACGCTACACAAATTTTTCCCCTAGAAAACCCGACCTTTTAAAGAGGAGGTCTGGAGCTGAGATTTCTGGAAAGGAGACTGCAAGGTAACTCAGCATCTTCCTCAAGCCCTCTGTGCTATGCTCCCTCTGGTCGGTTTTGTCTCCCACTCGAGAGGGATCCAGGCAAGCGGCTGCCCGCAAAGCGTCCCGCACCTCACGCTCGCCCGCGCAGCGGATCCCCTGAGCCCGCTCAGCACGAGCGGACCGCTCAGCACGAGCGGACTGCACAGCTGCCCAGCTGGACAAACCAAGGAAGACAACACCACGACAAGCCTGAAATGTGGTTCTGTATCTCAGGGCTGAGGAAAGCCAAGAAGATTCGGTGCTAGGATCTGCTCCAGAAGTTCAGCAAAGCCAGAGCCAGGTCACCCACTGAGCGGCCTTTCTCCAGGAACGAGCTGAAGAAATTCTACAGCCCAATAACCACGTGGATTAAACTAACAACAGGTATCGAGGCTTATTCCTCCTGGTGAATTCAGAGCATTAACAGTGTAATATCAACAGGACAGCCAAGTATTCCTGCAGTCTTTTAGAGCAGGCAGAAAAAGCTACTTAAGAATTTTCATACCTCATACAAGCAGATTTCAGGGTGTGCTCTCCGAGCAGAAGATAAAACACGCTTACTTAAGCCCCCTATCTTAAGCCAGTGGCAGTGAAATTCCACGATTTTCCCAAAGCTCTTTGATACAAGCACTAGCACTAACTCCCTACCAGGGCACACAATCCCATGGCTCTCCGCATGGAACTTATTTGCCAAGTCAGGTAATTCCAGTGCCACAGGTGGCTGCCCTTCTCTTTCCCAATATATACCACAAAAGAGTAAAAGAGATCCTTATTGGAATGAGCCTTCCCAAAGAATCTGGGGACAGCGAGTTACAGAAGAAAGTGCAATACAGGGCATTTCCTCCTAAGGTGAGGATGCATCCCACCCTCCTTTTCTTTATGGACCATTAAAGATTGCTTCCTTGCAGTGACAGCATCTCCCATACCCCTTTACGAAAGGATTCCAGCACCGAACACAAACTGGCAGTAGTAACTTGGGAAAGATGCACCAGAACCGCTGCTGGGAGCTCTCCAGAACTATCAGCTTGAAGAGCAGCAGCAGACACAAACACACAGACAAACTAAAGAACACACATAAAAAATAGCAGGAATTTGGAGAAGTGAGAAAGAAGTGAGAACAAGACAAGAGCATCACTTGCTCCTATACTGCACACCGGGGCACCCGTAACTCAGTTATGCAGTCAGATCTGGTCTCTGCACCTCATCAAGGGCATGGCAGAGTTACAGGTACATGGGAAAAACAGCTAGGCCGACCACGGGCACCACCTTAGGAGGGGTGGCCAAATGCCTGGGAGTCTGTACTGCTGAGGAGAGAATGGGTGACTCTGTATGAGATACCAGGAAGGCACCTTCTGCAAAACCAGCACCAGTAGCACCTTATGAAACTAGTAGTTAAAAAGGAAATTTAAGTAGTACTAAGTACTTCCTTAGATAGCAGGCTGTAAACTTCTCCACCTCTTGTGGAACAAGTCTTGCAAGGACTGCAGCACAGCAGTCTGGCAGAGAAACACAGCAGTCTGGCAGAGAAACACAGCAGAAACACAGAGAAGCACAGCAGTCCGGCAGGTGTTTTCATGGCAAGATGAGGGCACCAGAAATGACCCGCAGAAACACAATGACTCTGATAGGGCTTCCAGGCAAGGCTGTGTTCTCCAGCCAGTGCTTCTTTGCCTGCTGCATCTACCCTCCCGTGTGCTGGGAGATACCAGAGCTTTCAGAGCTTGGTACACAGGAGGAAAAAGTGCAGCACCACCTCTGAGGCTTGTCTGGTGAAGCCCTGAGACAGGGCTGCACAGCGCCCAAAACAGCTACTAATAGAGGAATCCTGTCTTCAAACTTTCCCTTATCTGCTTAAAAATAAATGGAGATAGAATTGCAAAACAGCCTGGCTCTGTGGGTACTCCGACAATAGCTCTGCAGAAAACGTAACTTGCATGTACTGAAAAACACACCCTATCATCGGCTGCAGATACACATGTGGGTCCCACCCTGCGGCCATCTGTGAAGGTCCACGGCTGCTTGGAACGCACAGTGTGGAGTTGTGCCAGYCACAGGACATCTCCAACTTCACAACACAGGGGAAACCCGACATCTGATGAGGGTGAATCTTCAATAGACCGCAGAAAAGCCTCTCAATTAGGGGAGGGAAGAAAATTAAAAAAAACTAAGTATCAGAAATGTTTCTATGCAGTCATTGCTCCATCCTGATATCAGTCCCGCTGTCCTCAATGCAAGGGAAGATACAAAGCAGTCTTAACATTTCACTTTACAGAGCATGCTCATTCATTCAGAGCGTTTGGAAAAAAAAAAAAAAAAAGTCATTCAAATACCATTATCCCAAATGTTACACTGGATGTCTCACAGAGCTTTTTTAACTGAAATCACCTTTCATTTTAAGGCAGTAGAGTTGATTTTTCATTTCCAAAATTTTATGATTCAGTGCTTTGCAACCCTCAATGGAGTTCATCTAGACAATGTTGGTGTGAATTAGGGAAACAGAATCCCATTGCCACAATGGAGATTCAGGAAGGTGGTTGACAGAGTCGCACGTTCAAGGCCTGCAGGGCAGGAACTGATCCTCAGCCCCAAACATGCAAAAAKCACCAGAGCTCTTGCAGCTTCTAACTGCCTATTCAGGGCATCACTAGGGAGAAACAAACAGCTCTGCTTCAGTCCTAGCATTAGGACTGGTTCATCACTATCAAAAAGAAACAGTCCCCAAGAGGTTTTGCTGAGGCAAGAATTAAGAGTACTGACAAGGGCTTTGAAAGGCTATGTCACCTTTTTGATTTGGGCATCCTACCCGACAAGCCTCTCCCTCCCTCACAAGGCCAAGAGCCCAAGAGCCAAACCCTTTTCTGCAGCGTTTGTCTTACAGAGACTGCACTGACTGCTGGAGCCAGGAAACACAYTGGGCCTGCACCAGTGCCAGTACCATCGTACTAGAACTGTCATTAACAGAGACACTCAGCAGCAACATACAGCCTAAACAAGCTAAGGGCAAAATCTGCATCTTTTTAACCTGTTGCAAATTTAAATATACATTTTCAGATTCACAGACAAACCAAACTACATAAAATTAGCACACAGACTAACAGCTGCAGTTCTGAGTTACATCTGGATCTTCAGACTTCAATGTGCTGAGTAGCATATGATCAAGACCTGCAAGTCCCCAAACTTGGGAGACTTCTTTCAACACSGACCCCCAAATTTGCCAGGCTACAATATTTGGGAGAAAGGCAGTTTTCCACAGACTACAATCATCACTACAYGACAGCACAAAACATGTCACTGCCATGCAGTATGATCAAGTATCAGCATTATTTTTCTTTAATTAAAGTCTGTTGCATATTCTTCCATGAGTCTTCTAAATTTGGCTAGAGCTGACTTTGCAGGAAGAAGTGCAGGGGAGGGGGAAAGGGATGGACTCCATTTTTCATTAATACATACCAGAATGGCCATCAGCTGGAAATATATCTGCAAAAGAGAAGAAAAAAAGAAAACATTAGTATCAGTTGCAGCTGGAGTGCAGATSATACTGAAAAGCTGCCTCCTCTCTTCATTTGTTTGCTTTAACTAAACAGAGGAAGTATTTTCTTAGTATGCCCAGGTTAAATATCAATCTGACTTGGAACCCACCTCAGTTCAACCAGCCTGTCCTGAGAAAGATCCTTAAGCATTTACCTGAATGTATTGTTCCCATAAACAAATTTCTGCATTAGCTTCTAGAAGGCAGCAGTAGGGAGTAAGAATGTGGTGTGGAGCACAGTCCACCTGACAAAGAGTTAGAATCCCAACCACTGYTGCTGATCCAAGACCTACAGAGAGCATCTAACACAGTGGCCATGGTTAAGGGAACGCAGACAGCAGCCAATGTAAAAGCAAGGCAGGCRTTTTCCAGATGGCCCCTGGTTTTCACAGCCCCATGGCAAATCAGCAGCTGTGCCCAGCTCCAAGGCAGCACATACACAACAGAGAAGCAGCTGGAGGTACCTGTCACCCAAACCCAGCACCTGCACATGAGCAATGCCTTGGAGCATCACGTGTCACCAGGAGGGAACCTCTTCCCTTCCTGAGGTGGCTCTGAGCAGCACAGCCCTTTGCACAGAGCTACTGCTGCCTGCAGGTGCTTAACTCCGGAKATAACGGATCACTAAACCCTCCCAATCCACAAGCTCCTTCCTTCTTGAGGTGTAAGTCCTTTTGCTACAAAATCCTGTTTATTTTAAAGGGTAGGAATGAAACTAGGAAGAGGCTTTCTGAAGTAGCTCAAAAGGATCACACAGAAGATGCTCCTTCAAGGAGCACATGCGTCTCGAGAAACCCTTTCATAAAGGCTCTACGAGAAGCTATGAAAACAGCATTTTTGAGAGAGCAGCACATTCCAGTTTCTTTAAGGAACTTGGAAGAACAGGGGGAAGGGAGGTTGACAGTGAGCCAAGGCTCTCCTAGGACAGAGGGCAGGCCCCTGGCTCCAGATTATCAGCTGCCCAAAGCACACATTCACCTGCGAAGTCACAAGAGTTGCAGCAAGGACTACCCCTTCTACGGGGCAACCAACGCGATCACAGCAAAAACACTCCTCCTCCCCAAACTGCTCCCATTTCTCCACCTTTGACGTTCACCACATCCAGGGTATGTCCAAGCTGGAATCCTTTCACCCACCTATGAGCAGAAGCAGCAGCTGTTCAAACCCCAACTCCCTCCACCGTTATGCAGGCTCATGATCTGTGGGTACATTACAGGCATGATCTCAGTGTAAAACCAACCTGACCAGAAAAGCAAAGCTCCTCGTGCCATGGATCCTTTGGAGGCTGCATGTTCCTACTGCAACCTTCCACCAACACATCATCACCTAAGCACATCAAACATCTTAAATTCTTGTCATGGTTACRGATGAGGTCAGGCTCCTACAACAGGGAGCAGAAACGCCCTGCACTTGATCTAACAGGTCCCAGAACAAGAGGCGGTTTCTGTATTTCCCTACTTGGATAACTCCCAACCAACTTCTTCAGAGAAGCCCAAGGTGGAAGTGCTGGTTAGTGCATATCCCACCTGCTCACCCCAACCAGCTGCACTGAAGATCAAAAAAACAAAGCAACCCCCCCAAACAACGCAACAGCAACAAAAAGCAAAGCCGCACGCACAAGCGGCGGAGAGAAGGAATTCCTCTGTGCCCGCCAGCCAAGAGCTATGGGCCTTGGCATCCRTTCCCTGCCCTGCACCGGTGCCAGACTCAATTCCTGCCGGGCTGTTCAGCCAACCCTTCACCACATGCGCCCGGACCCAGCTGGCCACCTGCATGGACAGCCACACAGGTGCCAAGAGGCACTGGCTACTCCTTCTTGAAGCCACCACTGCTGCCCGAGCAGGGAGCAACCAGGGGTGCCCCGAGGGGACGAGCCCCTACCAGATGTGCCACCACYGCAACTCCTACTTGGGTTCCCTCCAGGCCCCTGCCCAGCTTGCAGCTGCCTCCTYGCTGCCCCACGCAGCTGCCTGAAGGTGACGAGCAGAGCTCACCTGCTTCTCAAGTTTGGCCATCGAAACACATTTTCCACCCCGTTTGCTAGAAAAACATTGGCAAATACTGCAGTGGCTTATGCCCTTAGTGAGCAAGGATTGCATGTGATGCCAGGGCAGCCATTGCTCATGGTCGCTCTTCCCATCCTGGCACCAGGACTCGAGGGGAAGAACTGGCACCTCCCCGTTCTCCAGTGCTCAGCCCTCCTCTTGCTGGTGGGAGGCTGAGCTTCCCCAGCTCATCACACCTATGATTAGTGCAGATTTGAATCCAAAATTTCTGGAGCAAAGACCTGGAATTTTAGACCTGGATGCAGCTTTTCCCATAGCAGAGCACGGAGCAATCAGCGAGATGCTCAGAGGACAGGTATGAGGCAGGGCCAGCCAGAGGCTGCCAGGCACTAAGTCCCCTTGGGATGTCCCTTTCCCTGCTTTTCCCTGCAAGCACAAGTGACTAGAGTAGAAATTAGCCTGTCAATTAAGGGCAGCACCTGATGCGCCAGGAGAAATCTAAATCAGGCAACACTTTCTTTTCCCAAGGAAGCCATGGTGAGGTGGAAGGAAGCAGAAACACGCAGGGCTGGCAAGCCGAGACAAATCCCTACGGCTGTCCCTGACAGAGCCCGTTTACACGTTCCAGACACTGTCCTTGCCAGCCCCGTTCAGTTCCTTTCTCAGCACTTTCAAGGTTAAAAATGAAAACGCAAAGGACTCAGCAGAAAGACCATGCTGAAATTTTGCTCTACCCAATACCAAAAGGGCTGAGCCCAGTGAACTGATTCCAGTGATTCCTCCCAGCACACGCACGGCTTTCCCATTTGCGTTCCCTTCAGGGTGTCCTCATGCCAGACATCCCAATACRGGCTGCATGCTGCAGACATGCACGGGGCCAGTCTCCATCTACGCAGCTGCCGGCCGAGCACCACTCGGAGCAGAGCAGCCTCATCCCACCCGCACGGTGCCTCCCGGCTAAACCCTGCCCGCRGCACGAGGCCAAAACCAGGTAACCTCCAGGCAACCAAGGCAAGGAGCACCAAGGAGCCAGTGCTGAAGCATGAGAGGGGAAGCCCTGAGAAATTTGGTCTCTGTGGTTCTCTCTTTTCCTATATGCAGACACCTAATTTCTCAGCATGGGTCCAAAAGCAGAAAGTCTTAGAGCTGGCATCTAATCAGAAGGATTATAATTGCTATAGGCACCAGCAACCTCTTCATCACAGCACCAGTCTCTGCCAAGCCAGGCACTTCCCAAGCACTCTAGCATCCARCTCGGCTCTGGATGGAATCTGTGCAGCCCACAACATCTCAGCAGCAACCGCCTCGTGCACCTCCCTGCTATCAGCAGGGAAGGAGGGGGACAGCACAGGAAAGGAGAGAGCAGGAAGAGGTCAAGGCCTCCGTTGCAGCTAGCGGGATGTTTGGGAGGGCACCAAGCAGAGCGTCCTCGCAGGACTCGCGCAGGAGGCGCAGACATTTGCTCTGAACACCGACAGCCAGAGCTGTACTAAAACTGAGAGGTCGTGAGGAAACTAAGGCAGCCCTTCCTACCCTGGGGGCACATGCGTATGTGCTGCGGGGAAAGACACAGAATCCCAGTATTTGCCTGCTGATATTTTTAAACACAGGAGGGGGCTTCATATTAAACTGGGGCATTTCAAGAGAAAAGCTGATGCATCTACATATATTCTCCCTCCCAAGGGACCATGTGGCCACTGCTACTATTCGGGTATCTGGGCCAGGCCCAGAAAGGCTACCTCGATCTGCAGGCGCGAACTTCCTCTCTGCTGCTGGCGGTGGAAGCGCTCGGTGGATCAGGCACCTCCACCAGCCCCATCCTCCAGCTGTGCCTCCCTGGAAGCGCCTCGAGCGCCGTGGGTGCGGGTCCCGCCGCCCGGGCCGCCTGCCCTGCACGCYGCCTCCTCGGGGCCCCGCTGCTCGGCGCTGACGCAAGAGCGAAGCCGCCTCTTTATTACAGCAACCCCAGCGCCAACTGCCGCGAGGTGCCGTGCGGCCGCAGGCTCAGCCGTGGAAGGGCCAGGCCAGCCCCACGCACCCTGCAGGTCCCTCAATGTGCAACTATTCTTCATCTATAAGCACTGCACAGACACCAACTACACACATGGAAAGCTACAACTAAACCATCTTCCACGTTTGTGGACAGAAGACTTGGACAAAAGCAAGAATGAATAGAATCGCAGAATCCTCAAGGCTGGAAGGGACTTCTCCAAYGTCATGCATGGACTCAGCAGCAGAGACACGGCCACAACTCAGCACTGAGGGCTCAAAAGCTGCTGTACTCCAATGGATTCTCAGAAGAGGGATGGGGAAGGGAAATCCTAATGGATGACAGGAATTATGAGGACTGGGATCACTCTGCTCCTCCTAATGTAACTGTCCACCCAGCAGGAAGGTTTCCTTCTGCTCCTCTGGCTATGAAGACAACCTTCCCAATAAAGACACCACAAGTGGGGATAAAGACCAAGCCACACAGCCCAACATCTGCTGTGAGAAGATCAATGTTGCCAGAATCTCTTTTCCATCCCCAGGCAACACTGGCTTCCCCTTGAGAGGCCTAGAGAGTGTCTGCACAAGACCCCGAGACAGCAACAGGCCTCTTCAAAGCAATGCTCAATGGAGAAGGGGGTGAGGTCTGCTAAGAAAAAGCGGCAAAGCAAGAAATCCCAAACCCAAATATTAGCATGACCCATTAGGGCCCTCTCGAGATCCTGCTCCCCTCCTTCCTTACCTGCAGAGCAGGCTCAGGGAGGGTCTAGCTCTCAGCAACCCAGRGCTTCCCAGCCCTCTCCAACTGCCAGGTCTGGGCAAACACACTTCTTCAAAAAACAGGTTTAGAGTAAGAAGCATCTTCACCCCCTCAAATGGAAGCTGCAGCTTGAGATGGAAGATCCAACCCTGATAAGATTCGCTCCTGTTGACTACCCCTAAGACACCAACAAAGTCTGTTCAAGAAAGGGCTAAACTCAAGTAACTAGAGAAGCAGAAGCAGCCCCCAAAACGTTCCTGAGGTATCCAGACAGCCAGGCCCTTGTTAGTTTTTCCCTTCCATACAAAGGAGAGGTCTGGTTCTGTCTCAAACACTTGGGCATTATTTGAAGACACCCCAGACACCTTTGCTAGGAGGCTGAAGAGGCACAAACAGCACAAGCCTCAGTATCTATTTCCCACAAACCATGTGGAATTAAATACTTCACATGGATTTTTAATGCAGAAATGACCTGTTTTTGGTGAAGTTCAACTCAGGTGCCCCAGGTACTTGGAAAGGAATGAAGACCTTTGACCTCAAAGAGGTGCAAGAACAAACACTCCCCGAAAAATCAGCTCTCCAAAATGAGACCATCCATATACCAGGAATGGTTCCCCAGCTTTCAATTCACACTACATGCTAAACTTAATTAACAACTTAATACCAATATTAGGCCTAATCCTGGCAATACCGAGATGAAGGGCGAGAGGAACTGACCTGACACGGTTGTGATTTTGCGACTCACCAAATACACAGTCAGCAGTGGAACAGGCACCACACTGAGCACCAAGCACCTTTCCAAAGTCTGCCTGGACTTGGCCAGCGGGTTCGGACCTCTTCTCTGAGAGGAGGAGATGTTCATGGGCTTCTGGGGGACACATCTGGTCAAACTGACCAGAAAAAGTGACAGCCCTCCGAACAAACAGCCCTGTAAATCCCACACTCACATGGGCACAGACACACAAAAAATAACTAAGGTCACGGCTGTTTTTTCTCCCAGCCACTTATCAATGCTTGYATTAGAGAGAACAAACACTGGACGTTCTCTCACATTAACCCCTTTGACTCCCATCTCAAAGCAGAGWGAAAAACAAAATACTGTTGTTCAAACCACAAGATGAAACACTTCGACTYTTGCATCAGACAGAAATTATGGAATTCTGTAGAGAAATTATGGAATATTAAAGGAAGGGGCAAGATAAAGTCCAATTACTGTTTCCATGAAGCAGCTGGTGACCCARCTCTCAGCCTCATGTCATTTAAGCACCAATAAACCTGAAGTGATAATACTGGAAGTGCCCAAGCCATCCCAACATGGAAGCCAGTGTATGGGGAATGAGGAAGAAGCCAGGGGTACTAGAACCATCCACTCCAGACTGTTCTTTAAGTTACAGGATATTTTGCAGGCAATAAAATTTCAGGTATGATAAACAAGATGTCTCAGAGATATTCTCATTAAAATAAAGGGGCCATTTAGGTGGAGCACAGAAGCTAAAGGCTCCTATTGTGCGGAAGCTGATAGTGGATGGGGTTTCCCTATGACAGGATTGTCACATATTGCTCTGCAACATCCCTTCCTGTGCAGTCCAAGGGTGAAATTCAGGAAAGAAAGCTCAGTCAATTAGAGAAGCAAAAGAGACACATTCTCCCCATACTGGAGGAGAATCCCCCTTGCCTCATCCCTCACAGGGGACATCAGTGCAGCTAGAAACCCAACCTCTGAATGAGAGATGTCCTCAGTGCCCCCACTAGCTCCCCCAGTCCCAAGGCATGTCCCTTCATCACACCAGGATGTCATAAATCCCCATGACATCCCCAGGAACTGCAAATTACGAGGCTGCTTCCACCTTATTGCTGTGGGCAGAGCAAGGCAGCTAAGTGGAGACAACATAATTGTATCTCTTAACTCAATCACAAATCCCCAAACTCATCATCTGCTTGAGATGCTCCCCCTCTGGCCCAGTCAATCTGGCAGGTTTTAATCAAACTTAACAGCTTTTCCAATCACTCCCCAAACTTTTTCCTTGCTTGGTTCCACTTTTCCCCTGTTAAATTAGATCAACTCATGCTTCATCTCCAAAGGATATAGGAGTGTCGTCTGCTCGACATCTGACACATCTCTTCCAAACTTTCTTCAAAGTTGTCCTTACAGGTTTAATTCCACATTTTAAAAACATGGTTCACTTTTACATGAAATTCCTCCTTGTTCAGAGTAAAAACGTCACATTTCCCAATCGCTGATTAAAAGAGTGAAGCTAAAAGAGTTCACCCAAGAATATTATTGGAGGCTGACAGGAAACCAAAATAAATCAGTCCCCCTTCCGCTCAGCTCTCTGCAGGACAGAATGAATTTCTGAGCAGTCAAAGGATGTTTTAGATCATACCAGGCATCTCCCCAAGCTCCCAAAGTTTAGCTAGGAGTTGGAAACTGAAATTAATGGGATTACAATCATGAAAGTGTCATCAGAGCATGTGGTTAAGACACCTCCAAGATATTTTTTTCCTTCCATCTTGGGTGAAATCTCATGCACACATATTGTTGCTTATTTTTTCAGGCAGATTAACACCCCTTCCCCATATCAGTGGGGTGCATTTCTCCATATCTTATTTCTTGCTGTCACAATCAAGTAATCTCTCAAAAAGCAGCTCGTAACTGTCTGGGAAGGACTACAGCAAAGATATAAAATTATTGCAATGAGAATCTTAAGTGTCTTGCAAGAAAAAAAAAATCTCAGTGTTCTTTTTGTAACATTTAATACACCATAATGGAAGATGTGACCTTGAAAAATCCAGGAGAAAAAAAAAGAAAAAATCTTCTACTTTGAAGTGAACATTAGCTTATTAAATGTTTGAATCTGATTCATTTATTACAAGTTCTTACTATTTTGATCTAACACTAACTTCATTAATCTGCAAGTGTGCAAACTAGGTAGCCTTACATTACAATTTAGTAAACTAATAATCACTCATCTGCAGCACTAACCAAAATCTTAGAAAGAAAAAACAAACAAAAAACCGTTACAACAACCACAAAATCATACGGAATTTACCATGAAGGCTGAAAGCATCTTACAAATAACCTTGTGCGGAAGAGTACTGAGTGTTAAGCAACCCGAACACGCTCCGAGAGCTACCAAACAGGCACACATGCCCCCCCTTCCGAACTTCTCCAGTCAGTCTCCCCACATTCGTCTTTCTCTTATTTTCCCATCCGCGCAACTCTATCCTTCCCTCATTTTTGTGGCTTTTACAATTCAATACTTGCTTCCCCACGTATTTAGCAACTTAAAAACTCACCTCTCTCTCTGTTTTGCAGGATTCTTAAAACCTACCACATATCTAGCCCTGAAAAGCCTCTGCTCTCTTCACATAGTGCCCCACATGCAAGACAAAAAAAAAAAAAAAAAAAAGAAGCCAAGGGGCTGCTGGGGAAGGAGGGAGGAGAGGAGCAAGCCCTGGGCAAGGAGGGAGGAGAGGAGCCAGCGCTGGGCGAGGCGGGGAGCGCCCAGCGCGCAGCCCGCGCCGCAGACTGCAGCGTCACTGCGGGAGCGCCGCGCGGCCGCCCGCCTGCAGAACCCCGCGCGCGGCCCGGCTCCCGCCGAGCCCGGCCGGCCGCGTCCCCCAGAGCGGCCCGGGCGGTCGGGCACGAGCGGCAGGCGGCACCGACCCGACGGGGCTCGCGGAGAGCACGTGCGCGCCGCCTCCCCGGCCTTCTGCGGCTCGCTCRCCGTGCCAACGCCCAGAGCGCCGCGGGAAGGACACAGCACATTTCCACCCCTCCTACCCAGCTTTCCAATCGTAGTTTAACTCTGCCTGTGTGTCAAGGACACATGATGTTCACAAGTCCCATTCGAGCCCTATTCTTTCCAAGCGTCCCAAGAATCTCTCTGGGTATTGTTAATACCTGGGAYTCTCCAAAGAGCTTGCTAATGAGCAAGAAATAATATTGAGGAGCTGCAGAAATGCTTCTCTCCAACCTTCCCCCTGGATCAGCGAGGCTAAATCACGTTTCCCTGCACATAAAGCCTCTTTTCTTGGGGGAGGAGGCCAGGGCCTTGAGGGAACAAGCTCGGAGCACAGAAAGGCACCAGTGGGCACAAGCCCAGGTATGAGGGCAGCTGCCTCCCAGACAGCACAGAGCAGACTTTTTTTTCAGCCACTTTGAGGGGAGCCAAGCAGGACCTTAACACGTTTTCCCCAGGAACACAGGTTAGGGCAAGTTGCACTCAGTAACCTGTGTGTGTGCAGTGCCCAGATTGCCATCTTGTAGATCAAATAAACAAGGGCGACACAGAYAATGTCACCCAAACCACGCTGCACTAATAAACCTCAGTCACAGAAGCAACCGCCTCGATTAGCCATTTTCAAAATAAATTAAGGCTTCTGTCTGAGCAGCCACATCAGAACATTCAGCCCAGCTAGCGAGGCTCAGCACAGTCACTACCTGCACACCTTCCTGCAGCAGCAACCTCTCCTTTGCCTTCCAACAAGGTGTAAAGGCACAGCATGACTCAAAGCAAAAACAAACAAACAAACAACACCCAAAGCGGAGCCACGCGGAAGCACGGTGCCCCGCTGCYGCTTGCTGCCTGCCACGTGTGGCTGTTCAGCACTACGAAGCTGAAATGTTGAGGCAAGCTGCTGCTTTCAAGTCAGCTTTGTTCCAGAAGGACACTGGAGATAAACGACAGATAATGCAGGTATTAGTCCAGTCAATTCACAGCCTCTCCTCTCCCTCTCCTTGTGTGTCATGGCAGAGTATCCCCCAGCACACGTAGCTTTGATGCTGCATAGAGCTCTTGACCGTATCATATAATGCAGCAAGATTCAAACCGAAGGGTTTACAGGTGCCTTCTGCAGTTCAACCAGCACCTTCAGCCCTGGAGGATCTTGCCATCAGCAGAATCACAATACGTCACGCGCTGATTTGCTCAGCAAAGGCAGCTCACCCAAGCCCCCGACCCGTGGCACAAAGCGTGTGCTCCTTCACAAGCTGGAGTTCAGCTCGGTATTTCTTCTGGGAAGCTGCAGTCAAGGATGCGCCTATGTTTAGAAACCCGCTGACTCTCCATGACCGTAGTTTCCACAACCCTTCCCCAAAACCCATACATAACTGACATTAGCAAATCTCTTCATAATGTCTCATGGCAGTTTTGGCTCCACTGTCTCAGCACCCTCATATGTGAATCCACTTGTTTCACCTAAGCAATCCAAACTGACCCAGGACTCTCCCCGTAAACAACTCTGGTAACTGCTTTACCAAGGCCAAATTCAGCTCCCATTTACTCTGATCACCAGTTACTGTTGCCTAAATACACAGGGGCTTTTAGTTCTTGAAACTCCGCATTAGCTTCTTAGAGTCTTCTCCCTCCCCAAGTCGCAGCGCTATCATTTGCTACCCGATTCTCAGTTCRGCTGGTTCTTTCAACACAAGGAGAAAAGTCTCCTAACTCTATTAACAGGTGACTAAAAATGCCTTGCATCTACAGAATGAGTTCAGAACAGAAGCACAGCTTTAACTGGAGAAAAAGTAACAAATGCAGACTGGACCAGGCTGGAGACTACAAATCTATACTAGGTTCCATGACCTCCACTCTTCCACACAATGAGACTTCTTACCCATGCAAAAGTTCTGTTTGAATGGCACTGCCACCACGTGAGATCCCATGTTAAGATTAGTTTTTTCTTAACCCCTCACTCTTTAAGTAGTAGGAACTGTAAGGGTTAAAAAAAAAAAATCCAAACTGGTTTGGGGGATACAGCTTCCTACTAAGATACCCATTCCTTCTTTAGCCAAACAAGCATCATTCATCGATATTGTTCCTGAAATTCTTTACAAAGTAGCTTTAAGCATGCACAGAGTAATCTAACTCTATCCAGGCCAGTATTTGGGGCTCTCCTGAGGATAATCTCACACTATTTGAGAAGAGTGAAAGACTCAGGTGTCGTA